CTACTCACTACGCATACTTTTCTGCGAATGAATTGAAGTCAATCCAAAAACAATAATAAAACCAGCAGACAAAAATGTAATTAAGGCATATGTAACAGTTTTGCACTTATATATTTTTACTAACTTTTTGTCACGAAAAAAAAGAGTTGTTAACACAATGTTCAGTATACTTTTGCTTTTTTTAGTTCCTGGATGCAATTTGGCATACCTTATTTGTATCTCTGAAAAAAATTGCGGGGGTATAGCCTCCCATATATCCTTGGTTTGCTTTCATAGCTCATGTACTCCATTGGACGGACTTGCATTCTTAGTAAGCTGCGCTTTTAGTTGATTTCGCAAATTTTCGACGAGATTCATATCCGCGGATTGTGGAGGTTATTTCAAAATAGCAAATTTTTGCTTTTGCATCCAGTCTCTGCGAACATATGCAGTATGTTTTGGGTGATTCTTGAGCAGAAACTCTCATTTTTCGACTACATCTTGCAAATTTGGTTGAAATATGAACAGATACTGTTCCTTACGCATAATGCGTACTAACGGACCAACAATATTTTTGAAATACAACCCCAAACTAATATTAACCGCCCACTGTGATTCACAGTTTGCCTTACATGATGCGCTTAGGCTTAATTTGTGCCTTTGATCCAATACCATGCCCGGCCATCTGATTGAAAGCGATTAATTTAGTCTTGTCAGACCAACTAACCTTCAATTATATCTTAAAAATTTGTTTTTTTATTGCATTCTGTAAGGCCTAACATATCACAATAGGCAACGGTCGTGCGATTCGGCAAAATGCTACCACTCTCGCATATGTATTTTGATCAAAATGGGGTTTTCTTCTTTTATTATGCCTTTGCGTTCAATTTGACAATTCTTCGCCTCGCTGTCTACTGAGTTGCATTCAATTTTAATACCTTAAGCGCTTCTGTAATAGTGGCTGCAGCGCTACTTGCTACTAAATTCACAAGATATCGGACCATAATATTTTTTGACAGACTTCCTTAGTCCTTGGGAACACTTTAGGCCATATTTTTTTCCCAGTCTAAACATTTCCAAGTAGCAAATTCCAAAATTTTTTGCCACTTTTCCTACGGTCCCGCGTTTCCGCAGCAAATCTATTATTTACATATGTTTCCTGATTAACCATATTATTTACTGGTAATCACTTCTTGAATAAATTACAATACAGAAAAAAGTCATCTGACTTCCAACCTAAGAAAAAGAAAACTGTAAAATGAAAAAATTGAGAGTGAGTGCAAAACTGTAACATTTGCCTCAATTTACATTTTTGCCTGCTGGTTTTATTATTGTTGTTGGATTGACTTCAAATCTTTATGAGAGAGGGAGTAGAGGTGTAGGAATAAGAATATACAACAAAAGTATAAAAGTCGTTAGAACTTGGAAAGATAGCGGTGGCTGAAATAAAAAGTGTTACATCATGTTACAGTTTTGCTCGTCACTGTATGTGCATGTATAAGCAAACGCAATTTTAAAACGCGAAAAAATTAACTGTTNGCATTCTTAGTAAGCTGCGCTTTTAGTTGATTTCGCAAATTTTCGACGAGATTCATATCCGCGGATTGTGGAGGTTATTTCAAAATAGCAAATTTTTGCTTTTGCATCCAGTCTCTGCGAACATATGCAGTATGTTTTGGGTGATTCTTGAGCAGAAACTCTCATTTTTCGACTACATCTTGCAAATTTGGTTGAAATATGAACAGATACTGTTCCTTACGCATAATGCGTACTAACGGACCAACAATATTTTTGAAATACAACCCCAAACTAATATTAACCGCCCACTGTGATTCACAGTTTGCCTTACATGATGCGCTTAGGCTTAATTTGTGCCTTTGATCCAATACCATGCCCGGCCATCTGATTGAAAGCGATTAATTTAGTCTTGTCAGACCAACTAACCTTCAATTATATCTTAAAAATTTGTTTTTTTATTGCATTCTGTAAGGCCTAACATATCACAATAGGCAACGGTCGTGCGATTCGGCAAAATGCTACCACTCTCGCATATGTATTTTGATCAAAATGGGGTTTTCTTCTTTTATTATGCCTTTGCGTTCAATTTGACAATTCTTCGCCTCGCTGTCTACTGAGTTGCATTCAATTTTAATACCTTAAGCGCTTCTGTAATAGTGGCTGCAGCGCTACTTGCTACTAAATTCACAAGATATCGGACCATAATATTTTTTGACAGACTTCCTTAGTCCTTGGGAACACTTTAGGCCATATTTTTTTCCCAGTCTAAACATTTCCAAGTAGCAAATTCCAAAATTTTTTGCCACTTTTCCTACGGTCCCGCGTTTCCGCAGCAAATCTATTATTTACATATGTTTCCTGATTAACCATATTATTTACTGGTAATCACTTCTTGAATAAATTACAATACAGAAAAAAGTCATCTGACTTCCAACCTAAGAAAAAGAAAACTGTAAAATGAAAAAATTGAGAGTGAGTGCAAAACTGTAACATTTGCCTCAATTTACATTTTTGCCTGCTGGTTTTATTATTGTTGTTGGATTGACTTCAAATCTTTATGAGAGAGGGAGTAGAGGTGTAGGAATAAGAATATACAACAAAAGTATAAAAGTCGTTAGAACTTGGAAAGATAGCGGTGGCTGAAATAAAAAGTGTTACATCATGTTACAGTTTTGCTCGTCACTGTATGTGCATGTATAAGCAAACGCAATTTTAAAACGCGAAAAAATTAACTGTTTAAACTTGTATTTTTATTATGTAGCTAACACCCACACTCAAAAAAAAAAATAAAAATAAACAATGCTCATAGATCGAAATTTGTTTGAAAATCTTACTTCATAAAGCTCTTTAAATATATTTTATAAATGAGGCCATTAGAGTTTTGGGAGAGAGTTAGAACACAAAAATACCTTTAAAGGCTGATTCACATACAACTTTCTTCGCTTTGCTTGATAGTCTTTGCTTTGACATATAAGATCGATGTAGGCATGTAGGCAGCAGTGACAACAAACACAACACAAATCGGAGGAAAAGCTCGGCCAAACATATTGTGTAGGCGCCAGTCTATTATTATTAGTATAATTATTATTATTATTATTAGAATTATTATTATTACTATATTCAACAAGGCGGAAGTCATTTCGACAGTGCTCGATTTTTTAAGTGTCAAACATACAAGAAAGTATTTCAAATCCATGACTCAATAATAAACGGTTTGCTCAAAAAACAGTTTTCTCGCTTCCTCTTGACAAAATCGGCTACCTTAGCAAGGCACTGTGTGGGTTCGTGTGTGTGTGCAAAGCTTTTGTAAGGGAGCTAAGGGAGTGTCAAAACTCTAATGTCACTAATGAGCAAACCTTTAAGGCGCTGGCCCAATGCAGGCTTGCTTTGCTCGCTTTGCTAACTTTAATTTGCTTTGATTTACTTGGAAAACTTGTTTGGCCGAATGGCGGCTTGAAACGCTGTCAAAGTAACCAGCTGTCTGGTTGAAAAGTCAATAGTTGTGTGTTTCGTATTCTCCAGCAAAAAATATCCAGTAACTTGCCAGTAACCAAATTTCGGAGAGTAAGCCAATATTTACTCCCAATGAGTGAAATATGCAAGAAAGTACGAAAACGCGAAACCAGCAAGAAGTTTTATGAACAGCTGATTAATTTGTTATTTTCCGATGCGATTTTCTTAGAAAACTAATATTTTCCATCTTATTATATATTTAAATAGGTTTATTTTGTCAATTGCAACTCTAAAAGCACCACAAACAATTATTTTGTTAATGTGAATTACTTTAAGCATCACGCCATCAGCTGTTTTTCTTACTAGCAAATAGTTGCTAGTAAAAATTTATCCAGTAAAAATCCAGTAAAACTTGCAAGTTTAGCTATCATTTTTGCTCTCTCAATTTCCCCTCTTTTGCTAGTTTCTTGCAAGTTTTTGCTTACGAAAACGGCATCCAGTAAAAAACCAGTAAAATTAGTAAATTAGATTTACTGGATAGTGCGTACGCGAACAGGGCTAATGTCTGTTCCCTTAACATTAATTATTGTTTTCCTATAAAACTCTAGAAGATTTATCAAAAACTTTCAGATTTATTTTTAAATGAATCCGAAATAATGCTTGTATTTAAAAGAACTGGTAGTAATGACACATACATATTTATATCTACAGTTACTAAAAAAAACTATAACTTAAAAAAGCGATTTACTTGAAGAAAAGAGCTATAAGAAGTTTTTTCCTCTCGTGTAAAATTTGTAAAAGTGAGCTTTGCAATTTTTTATTATAATATAACGATATGTTAAATTTGATTTCGAATTGCTTTTTTTTAAATTAAGCAAGCAAATTTTTGTTTGAATTTATGTATTTTGAACAGGAACATGCCTATTTGTCAAAAGCCTACAAAACGCTTTCAAATAAAACATTTGTCAATTTAAAACTTTGAGGCGCTTAAAGCAAGTGAAGAAAAGCTGCCAATTGGCCAGCCTTTATACATTTTTGTATGTTCCAAATAATTTTTGACACTTCTCGGAGCGAAGCAAGCCTGCATTGGGCCAGTACCTTTAATTATTGAATTATGTTTCAAATCGTATTCCAAAATTTTTTTTTTTTGTATTGTCTGACACTATAGTCAGCTACAAAGAGAGCTTTATTTTATTGGGCCGTTTGGTATGAAATTTTAAGAAAAGCAATTATTAGTTTTTATTCATGCGGCCCATTGTCACTTCTACCTTGTTGAATATATCTTGATTTTAATCAAGGTATATTCAACCAAAACATGTTATCGGGCAGGTTCTGCTATTCACTTCCAAGTAAATTTCAACTCCATTCAATTTGAATTCGAAGAGGCTTTGATTGAAATTCACTCGGAAGTGAATTGCAGAACTTGTTCGTATGACTAGAATGTCAGTCATAGAAAAACAAATTTCAAATTGTATTGAAAAATGTTATCTGGAAAGGTACAGTAACAGAAGAAGTAAATGTACATTCAAATACAATCTTATAAAACTTACTCATTTTGCACGATATGTAGTTTATGATCAGGTATAGGTAGAGCCGATGCGCCCTCCAGTAAAATCGGACCCAATGAACTACAGCCAACCTCTACCCAATTTTCAAAGAACTCAGTGTCGACGGCGCGTTTAGTCTCTGAAAAACTATCACGCAGTTTTCTATTACTTTCTTCACGTGAATCACGTCGCTGAGAAAATGAATTCGAGCTACGTTTCGGCTTGCAAATGTGCTGTTGTGACTGCTTATGCTCAGATTTTATTGAATCTTGTTCGGAACGACGCATTTTGCCCGAACGGTTACTGCCAGTAGTGTTAGTATTGTAAGAGTTTGTTAGATTTGAGTATGAACTGCCATTATTCATAAAAACACGCAGCAATATTGACGGCAGCAATCCTGAGATTCCAGACTTAACACGTTGCCCATGCAAATTACAGTTGGCCAGGCGGATGGGAGACACCTAATATTATAATAATGAAACAGTGTATTTGCGATACATACATACATATGTACAGCGTATCAAATAATAACTGTCGCATCTAATTTTTTGAATAACAGGGTTATTCCCCTTATTTCGCCTGATTGGGATCAACTTGTCAAATAACGTTAAATTACAGGCATCTAATCCTAATTTATTTCTCATGCAAATATAGGTTGGAGTATTTTTTATGAAGTGTGAAGTAAAGTGTTTTGGGATATAATATTACTTTTCCTTTTGTGAATTTGGTGCAAGGTCTAATAAAACAATTGCATGTCCTATTTAAAAAAAAAAACAGTTATAAAGTTATACCTTGGGTTTGTTAATGTAATATATACATACATATAAATACTTATTTCTTGCTTCCAATGTTGGTAAAATAAAGGATGTAATTAAGTAACTTAACAACTTATTCAGAATTTTTATTGAAATAATTTAAATTGCAAATTCAATTTTGCACTTTCCTTTTGCGAATCTTTCTATTATCCTTTCATGTCAATTTCAATGTCGAAGTGTACGTGTAAAAGTGCTAGACCTATTTAGACCTATCAGTCTTTCTTCATTCATGGTACTACGCAACCATGTTTTTAGCCGGCGAAGGGTTGAAAAACTTCTTTCGGAAGTAGCGTTACTAGCTGGAAGTGTGACCAGAATGCGGGGAAGTTTGTTAATCAATGGAAAAGCATATTTGTCGCATTAACCAAGAACTTCTGCTGCTGATTTTGGGAATGGCTTTTCGCTTTCCTTATTTGTCCATCGTTCCAACCACACTTTATACTCTCCTTCCAAATTGATACCGTCTTTTTCTTAGGCCGTGGTTATGCCACCAATTTTAATTGGCAATCAAAACAGAAAAATTTCGATGATAGGTGAGAAGTGGTTACGCTCTGTTTGCTGATTGGCGAGCACAGGGTTGCTTCTTAAGAAATGCCTTTTTCCATTTCATACAATTTCGCACACAATGGCAGCACCGAAGTAAAAATGCAACTAAAAACGCATCAAAATTGAAGTCGGAAAATGAAAAATGGAAGAACAACTTAATATTTTTTCTTTCTTTAATATTTAATTTTTATAATATTTTTTTTTAATATCTACTTTATAATAATAATAATAAAATATTTTTTACTATTCTAATATTTAATACTAATACTTTTTCGCAAAATAGCGTATTGCCACCCTGAAAAATTGGCGTGCTGGCTGTTCCGTTCACCCAGCAAATCGTGCAGGCTGTTCGATTTCGAAAATTCTCTCACTCCGTGCTGTGCATAACAACAATTGCACGGTGATTGCCAATCGAAATTGGTGGCGTAACCATGGCCTTAGAAAAGTTCGTATCGTTTTCCAAGCGATTTTACACGTTCGATAGCATTATTTTTTCCGTCAGGCGTATTATATTCCCCAATTTTAGATGGAAGTAATAAGTTCAAATCAAAAATGTTTAATGACTCTTTCGGCAATCTCTCTCGGAGATCGAGCAAAATATTGTCCAATAGCGGTATAAATATTGCCTTTCGATAATAATTTTCAGCGTTAGACGCACGATAATTAGCCCGAAAATTTTGTCTATTCGCTCTCCGAGGAAGGACAATGTCAAAATCCAATTCCTTAGCGATATCGGTAACTTTTGAAAATATATCAGAAAAATGTGTGTCAGCATTTTCTCTATAATTTCGAAGAATATTCACAGGGCCATTGACTGCTTCGCAAGCACGATTCAAGTCAAGCGAGGGCGCATGGAGAAGTAAACTTTTAATTTTTAATTTAATAACTTAACTTTTTAATTTTTATTATATTATTCAAGTCATTAATATTTTTATGCACAAACAAATTTCTGGTTACACAGTAGAAAGTGAAATTTCCTACATACGTGCACCGCGGAAATAGACAAATAGTAGTATCAGCAAGTTCGATTTGACATACATACATACATTCATAGAGCCCAATTCTAAATACTCCCAAGGGAGTTTGTTCTCCGGGAATTTGTTTCTCCCGAGAAAGAAATCCTACAATAATAAACTCCCAGGAAGTAGCATTTTCCCCGAAAATTTGGAAGGAGAAAATCAGACTTCGCAAGAGCTGTTTGATACTCAACTCCGCCACTTAATATAAAAAATCCGCAGGGAATTTTTATTCATGATAGGAGGAAAAGGAGAAGAGAGAAAAATTCCAGGGAGTTCCTGTTCAGAATCCGATAGTATCTACATACCCATTGTTTTAATTTTTCACGTTGACGAAGAGTTTTACACGATTTTTTATTCTATAAATAATCTTGTGCAAGCCTAAAATATGGTTACGATTGAAGATTAAAATAAAAAAAAACTTAAAAAATGTTTTTTTTTTCAAATGTTTCGTTTGAGGTAATATATTTCATCCGAAATTTTGCTTTTATCGATTCGATGCATTGTAGAATAACAATATGGGTATCAATTAAAAGCAAAAATTCTGTAGAATAGAAAAAAAAATTATTTTTGGGTGCACCAGGACGAATAAGTATTGAAAATGGCCTTTTAAAACTTTATCCTTAAATATCCTTGGAAGTTTCCAATATTTATTTTTGAAAAAAATATATGTCAAGGACTAATGTTAACTACCTCTTCCTCGAATTTCGTCCTTCTAACTTTATTAGTTTTAGATAAAAAAAATTTACACTTCTCTTTATAAGTAATTGATAGTTACAATATACATAAATGAAGATACTGGAATCGTTATTTTGGAACCATGTATACGCTCTAAAAGAACAAACTGACCGTATGATATATTACAGTATCGGTCATATCTAAAGCACTGATATTATGTGCCACTTATGTATGTTTATTTATTTATTTTTAATAATTTTAAATTAAAATATAGTTCATTCTCAGACAAACCCCATATAAACCCAAGTTTAACAATTTGTAGAAAAAACAAAAAAGGGCAACAAATTTTAAATAAGAACAAAAGGCGGTCTACGACTGTATTTTTAGATTTTTGTTATTTAAATATAACAATAAAAAATAAGATTTTACCACAGATTCTATTTCGAACTTCGAAGGCCAATATCGCGATTTCGGGGGCTAACTTCGAAAAACGGAGAAATCACTTTTTTACCTATGACTCAATCTCTTAAAAAAATTGGTTTGGTCTAATACCCAGCGGAGTGCTGTACAGTGTAATGATTCTAATATCTTCATTTATGTATATTGTAACTATCAATATCTTATAAAGATAAGTGTAAATATATATATAGTTTATATCTAAAACTAATAAAGGTAGAAGGGCCAAATTCGAGGTAGTGGTAGTTTACATATTAGTCCTTGACATATATTTTTTTTTTTCAAAAATAAATGTTGGAGATTTCCGAGGATACTCAAGGATAAAGTTTTAAAATGACATTTTCAACATGGTGCAACAAAAAATTAAATTTAAATTCTACAGAGTTTTTCCTTTTAACTGATACCCATATTGTTGCTCTACAATGCACCAAATCTTTAGAAATCAGTTTTTTATTCAATCATATCCTGGAAATTTCAAAGTCCTTTAAAAAAAACTCCTAATGTCAGAGAGAAAAATTAAAAACGCACACAGAGAAAAATATGACACATATAAACAAGAGGATTGTCTTTATGAAACGTTTCTGGGCTAAGGGGTAAAATAGACGAAAAAAACGAAGAAAATTCCATAGAGACAATGAATTGAAGGTTGTATTTTTCCATGTTTTCTCAATAGATGCTGTAGCCTAACGGGTGCGACTACGACTGCCGACTTTTTGGACGTGGGTTCAAATCCTGTGGAACGAACCTAGTTTCTTATTTTTTATTTTATTTTTATTTTTTTATTTTTTATTTTATTTTTTATTTTTTTTTTTATTATTATTTTTTATTTTTTTTTTATTTTATTTTTTTTTTATTATTTTTATTATCTATTATTATTTTTATTTTTTTTTTATCTCAATTTTGTGTTTACGTTCTCGCTGCTCTGCTAATGCCTACTGGAAATGTTTAGCAAACCAATGTAATAGTGCTTCATGAATTTGTTGAAAAGTTTTCTTCTTACTTTCATGTGATGACTTCTTGAATTTATATTAAATGCATATCAATCAATAGAACACCATCGGCAAGATGACCACCGTAGCCGGGTAGGTAGAGCTGTAAACTGCCATTCAGAAAGTCACGGGTTCGAGGACAGGTCGGCGTGGACCTTTTTTAATCTCTATTTTAAAAAATTAATTAGACAACCTTATAAAAACCAAAAGATTTCTTTTTGGTTTTATTAAAAAGATTTGACCTCTGGAAGCAAGAGGAATATCTTAACAAAAAACCGTAGAGATATCTTATTAGTTTTGTTCCATTTTATTAGGTGCTTTTTTCTCTGTGCAGTTGTTCTATATTTGGCTCCTAGTTTTGTGAATATATTGACTTTTTCGTGTTTTAAAAATGTTTGGGTTTTGTCCACAGTGTAATATTCCAAATGTATTTTTTTTTTTTTGCCTTTTGTCGAAAAGCCGAATATTATGCTTACGGGAAAAAATTTCGGAATAATTTAATACTTTTTGTAGCTCAAGAAATATTGGACATTTAAGCTCCTTAGATTTTATTATCTTTACAGTGACGTAACTAAATCATCTGAGTCCCGTGTCAAATTCTGTGGAAGGGGCCCTCCCAGTAAAAATTGTCACATTGTAATTTAATTAAAATAAACCACTTAAGTAGTTACCCTACACTATTAACAATAATGTGTGCATTTTAGTTAAATATCTAATAAATTTTATTTACAAGAACATGGGCGAGCTTTTTTTGTTCCGCAAAAGAATGTTTAAAGATAGGGCCATAGAATTTTCAATAGACAGCAATAGCCATGTTACGTAGCCTGTCTTGTCCTATAGTTTCTCAAAATGATCGTTCAGCTGTAGGCACACGAATTGGAACAAATAACATTAATACAGTACATACTTCAGGAAAGCAGGACGACATTAAATAAAGTATATGTATATGGGCATTTCCGAC